CTTTCTGTAAAACATTAAGTGTAATATTTATCTAAAATAAAATTTCTAATAAAATATTGCTGGCTGGCTTATTTTGCTTTACTTTTATGTCATATTTATATATAATTTATTAATTTTAATATGCACCAAATAGACTTTTTGACAATTCTTATTGATAGCAAGTTTTCTTTTGGTTCTTTTCCTTAGCTATACTATTCATTTCAGATTCCCGTTACTATTTATGTAATTTGTTAAAGTTTGTTCATCCTTCTTAAGCCTAAAGCTTAAGAAATTTGAAATTTTCTATCATAGAGATAATAGTGATGGAAATATTGCTTCCATATAGTCCTTTGCTGGATATTGAAAAGTGCCACAAAAATGGAACCCAGAGCCTACTGCCATGCTGGAGTGTACACATTTATGTCAGATTTCCTATAGAATCAGGTGAACTTATAATGGACTAGTTTAATTTGGAAGGGTTTGGTGTAATTTTTTTTTTCATTTTAGATTGTGGATAGCATTTTATTTTGTAGTACAATGTATCTGTATTTAAAATGACATGTTTCCTGTTATACATCAAATGAATTAGAGTGATACTCCCTTTCTTCAGTCATAGACATCTCAGGAACTGGAAATCCTCTAAAACATGTACATATATCCAAGTTATCAGACTGACTGCAGTATGATTTTTTTTGTCTCTCAGTTACTTAGTAGAAAATTAAAACAATTTAAACTGTAGAGAAATGATCGCTCAATAGAGAATGGCAGGACAGAACTTGCAAATGTCTGGGTATACTTTGATTTGTACATTTCTTCCTAAAAAAAATCTTCAATTTCTTCCTGGAGTAAAATGCTACTGTCTTTCAAGTTCTAGCACTTGAGAATAAAAAAGCATGAGAAATACTTTCTTATTGCAGTATAGCAGAATAATGTGGTTTACACTTCCACACAAAAGAAAATGGAATACTGCTTTTCAACATTTAAAGTAATGTGATGGGCTGTTGGATTTACCTTAATGTCACAAATCCATTCAATAACTGATATACCTAGAAAACAAGAAATCATAGTTTGCATGGATGGGTAGTCATTCCACCCTTACTGTTTTGGGTTTGGATTTTAAAACTTGCATTGGTTTCCTATATTTGTCATAGTAAAATCTTTCTGGGGACTTTGCAACTCAGTAATATACTATTTTATTCATTGTTTCACAAGCTTAGTCTTAGGAGTGAAGCTGTAGGCATTTAACACATTAACTTCCTCCCAGTGCATGTTGTGTTTTATTTTTAGTTGAGATGTTTGTATTTGAAGTACATTTAAAATTTTGTTTGATGTTTAAATCAGTTCCAGAAAAGTCATCACATCTTTTTTTTCCCCTGCTATTTAAATATTTGCTTCTGCTTTATCACTAAGCTTTTCTATGCATGACTGAGTCCTGCCATAATAAAAATTTCATGGTGCATTATATGAGGAAGTAAAACAAGGAGGTTATTTTTGTCTGGAGGCTATAGCAAAAATCACTGTGCATCTTTACCAGTACATGTGGCTCTCTGGAGGACTGCATATTATTCTATTTAAATTACTATACCTAGCATGTTTTCTGTGGCATGAAGCTAGATGATACACACAACCGATAAGAGGTCAGAGACCCAGTGAGCGTTTTTAAGGCAGGAAAGTGTAAAGATATTGATCAAGGAAACAAATTAACAAGAACATCTCTTACCAGCAGAATTAAATTTCTTCTCCACAAATTATTATGTGTACTTTGTTTAATGATGCACTGCACTGTATCTTTTGTACTGTAGACATATACCAAGAATGTTCAGGTTTCATTTTTTTCTTATTTTTCTTTTTTTTTTTTTTTTTTTAACCAAATAATTTCCAGAGTCCAACTCCTTTCCAGTTTTCTATAAAATGATAAAAGGAAACTAATGATACTCGCATGACACTTCTAAACTAAAAAGTGATGCTGAAGGTCAGTACTGTAGGGATAAAACTGACAAATTAAATCCATTATTTCTTTAATTACAATTGTTTCCACTTTAGAATTAGATTTTAGATTAAAAAAGAAAAAAAACCTACAAAAAAACCTGAATTTATAAGAAAATGGTATAAGATATTAAGAAGAAATTCTTTACTCAGAAGGTGTTGAGGGACTGCCACAGACTGCCCAGAGCATCTCTGGATGCCACATCCGTGGAAGTGTTCAAGGCTAAATTGGGTGGAAATTTGAGCAACCTGATCTAGAGGGAACTGTCCCTGCCAATGCAAGGAGAGTATGATCTTTAGGGTCTCTGCCAAGCCAAGCCATTTTGTGATTCTATCTTTGCACTTTTTTAGTGTGTGTTTTCTATTTTTTTTTAACTTTGTATTGCCTGGAACTTTTTTCATTAACTACAAGAAATGATTTACTAATATACCAATATGGTTCTTATACATTTTTACCCTGGAAAGTAACTAATTTCCAAGGTTTATCTGTCTTCAGAACAAATCTTCTTTATTCACAGTATTTGGAGAGCTGAATTATCTTTATTTATTTAGTCCTTTTATATATTAATCAAAACATTGGTTTAAATTTCTAATTTCCAGGAAAAAAAAATTATGATAAACTTCTAAATCCCTATCAGTACCTGAATGAAAGGCATATTGTGGATCATCTTCATCATCATGTCCATTAAAGTGCAAGCTTAAGTTTATGTTAAGTGAGTGGCGGATTTAGTGACTCAGACCTATAATTATCCACCATGTTAACGCTGCAGACATCTGTTAATTTGCATTCATATGACTGACACTGATTTCATAGTATAGTCCTCTTATAGATCTAAAATTTCAGTGATTTTAACAAAGTTTTCTTTAAGTAGTTATCTCCTCTGACTAGTCTACCTTTGAACACTTTGAAACTGTTCTTTAGGCACTTCCTGTGGAAACAGTGGTGCAGCACATGCTGGAGATAAAATGTTGGACTTGATACGAGTTAGACACTTGTTTTATTTGGTTCACACTTTAAGCTTGCAGCTACATATTTGATATCTAGGAAGTAAGGAATACAGATGTAAGTTCCTAGCTTCTCTATCACTCTTCTTATCTTTTAAATAAGAGAAGGAAAGTTTAGTTCACTTAAACTTTCATTATCCTGTCTTTCAAAATTTGATATCCAAGGTCTTTATTTACAATTGGAGCCTGAGCATAAGAAAACCTATGAGGCAAGGTTACCTTGAAAAATCTTTAAGTAAGGTCTAATCTCAGATCAGATCATTAACACTGAAAGTGTAAATTGCCTAAGCTTCAGCTAAGAAGACAAAAATAGGTTTGAGAGCACGCTCCCTTGCAAAGAGTGACATATTCTAAGTGAAAAGCCTCTTCTCCTCTACTGACTATAGAAAAGTGAAAAGGGCTCCTTAAAAATATACTCTGGCCATGCAGCTGTCTGCCAAGACAACCTCCTTTCCCAGAACAGAATTTTCCTGAGCTAATGATCTTCAAAGGACCATAAGGAAAGTGGAAATCAAATCAAGTGTTGAGAAAAAGGTTCTAAGCAGCTGCTTTTGTTGCCAGAAGCTCCCTTGATTGCATCACATGCACGGCTCAAACCAGTCACACTGAAGACAGTGTCTCACTGATAATTATAACACTTTATTTGGAAATATGGACAAGTCCAATAGCAAATTTCATCTGCCAGATTCCATAATGCAGAGATAATTAGTACATGAATGTGGTCGTAGGGTCCAGTGAGAGAAGAAGCAGACCTGAGCTCTTAGAAATTAGCTCAGAATAATTTCAGACTTTCCAGGGCACTGAGTACCAGTTAAGATTCATAATTATTGTGAAAACATCTGGGAAAAGTGTTACTTTCAGAGGATAGCCATGGATTAAAAGGAAAAGATTACAGGCTGTAGAAGATCAAAGTGCAAACTGAATGCATCATCCAGTTAAAAATAAATCTGTTTATATGGCTCCTTAACTCCTTTCTTTTTCTTCTTAAAATCTTTCAAGAATGGGAATAACTTTTATTGTCACACACCCTCACAAAAAGAAGTTAATTTAATCTAATAAGCTAAATACAAGAATGTCCAATAATGAAGGTCCAGGGAAAAATCTAAGAACAGAAGGATTGGGTAATAAACCTCCAAAATATCTTCCTAGCCTCTCATCATTTCTATCTAAGGCACTTACTCAGCTGTTTCCGAGAGGTGTATACTGGTATTGGTTATACTTTTCTTACATCAGCTGCTGAGTAGATTTTCTTGCAGCTTTTGTGGATTCTGAAGAAGTTTAGGCCCCCTACTATGTTGGAATATTTATTTCTTGGGCTGAAACAAAACTTTCACAAATCAGAATTGAAGAAAAATTGTTTACCACATTACGTTTGAGCTAACATATATAATTGAAAGCTGAAAAAAAAAAGTCTACATATCTCAAAAAGTTTGTGCCTTCAAAAGTGCCTTCAAAAAATAGTAAGAGAAGAAATGATATGTTATATGACCTTGCCTTGCAGTGCACTCTTTTTTTTTTTGCTTTTTTTTTTTTTTTTTTTTTTTTTTGGCTTTTTTGCTTTTTGTCAATAATGATATTTGTTACATTCAAAGGCATTCATGGTTGTGTTTGGAAAAGTTTTGGTAAATGCAATCCAAATTCTTCAAGTTGTACAGCTTAATAGAATTATGTAGAATAGTGTTGATGAGGTAGTTAAAAAAGTGTTCAAAATTATATATAATGAATATATGAAAAGAATAATAAAACAGGTTTGTATAAAGTTTTTGAATTTTTGACTTTGTCTTACCCTCAATAACTAAAGCCCAGTTTTTATAAATTAGGTTCAACTCTGATTCCTAAACGAGGGATTCTATGCTCTCAGGATTTAGGCTTAAAAAGAGAATTACTGTGATTCATTTTAACAAAAATTAGAACTCTAAAAAAATGATTATATTTGACAGAACTCCCCTCTCAACATGCATGCTTAGTTCTGACTTAATTCTACCTCAATACTTTTTTCTCTCATTTATTGTCTTATACATGTTTCCCAGGATAGCCCACTGGTCTTACAGTCTGACAGAAATGTAACAGTGAATGCAAGAAATCACATGGGACAGTTAACTGGACAACTGACAGTAGGTGAGTGTTCTTTATTGACTGTTATGTATATGAGTTTAGATTTATGAATAGCTTAATTAAAACAGAGGATAAAATACTGGAATCAGAAAAAATCTTGTCACCATATTCCAAAAAGAAACAGTGGATCATAGAAGTATAATTAGCATTAGCTGAAGGCAGAGAAAGTAGGAATGGACATACGTAGTTAAAACATAGCTTAATGAGAAAAGATTGTTTTTTTAGACAGATGTAATAAAACAAAAAAGTTAGCAACAACTTCAAAGGGAAAATAGCCATCATTTTCTTACAAGTTCTGTCATTTTTCCATTGTTTCAGTGGAAATTTGGTTTGTTCCCATTATTCTTACAATATATTTGTACTATCATGTATTGAAAATCATTTGAAGTATGAGAATGGAAAAAACAAAACAGAAACTCAAATGCTTTCCTAGTCACCAGAACATGTAAATGGAAAGTGATCATACTGCCTGTCATCAGTCTCTGATATTTTGCAAAGTATAAAATATTACCCAATTAACATTCCAAATGAAATAAAAATAAAAAATCTGTTATTTGTTTCCTGTAGATTTTTGTTTTAGTTCTTCTTTAAATTTATTTATTCCCTGCCTTTATTACTTTCAACAGTTTATAAAAATTTTTGTACCAGTACAAAGTCATAAAACAGTGCATATTGACTGGGAACACAATGAAATGTATACCAATATGTAACATACTAAAGTATGTATAAATTTAAGGAGATATCCCCCCCACCCCTTTTTTTTTTTTTTTTTTTTTTTTTTTTTTTTTTATTTCTTGGTTAAGCTCTTTTTATCTACCCTTTTTCCTCCTAAATCAAGGGCATGCTGACTGGTAAAGTTTTAAGTTAAACTCTAGTTGTGGTCTACACTGAGCTTTCATTTCAGCTGAAAACTGTAGCTTCGTGTTGCAAAAAAACCTTGTAGAACAAGACACCATCTGCACTGATTTTCCCCAATAACCACATCAAATGAGTGTACAGAGGTAAGCAGGCTAACTAGCAGATACAGATGAGGAAACTTAAGCAAACACCTGTTCTAACCATATTGTACTTGCCAGTGTGTTTATGGAACACAGTTCCATTTCATCTGGTAGCTGTATTAATAAACCTTCCACTTTATCTAATTGCTGAAGAGAAGAGTTGCCTGTGGCAGATAGTCACTTTGACTGAAATACGTAAGATGCTCTTACTGCTGGCACCATTCTTGCTGAGTGATTCTAACAATGAACAGTGATTTTATCTAAAGATGTCACAATAGATAATAATATTATAAAAACAAAAAGGCCTGATGAAAACATGTTCTTTTTTACAGTCATTACAGTGAACACCTGTAAGCTTCTTAATGGGTTTGCAGATGGTGCAGAGTCTGGGAAGGGGGAGTTTGCTAAATTACAATGTTGTATTGACTTTATTCCTCATCTTCCTATTTTTCTCATAATGGTTGTATTGCCTTTATTTTTACCTATATGAACATTCTTACTTTTACATAAATTCCTCATATAATATTGAATACATACAAAGTTATTTCTTATTGTGAAATTTATAATGTAACATTTGTTGGTTTAGGCACACGTAACTACCAGAGTACAATCAGTTAAAGGCTGAACATTCTGCTATTGGAAATAAAAGAAATTAATGGGCACCTAATGTTCAAAATATGTTGTTCCTATCTCCCTTGCAAAACCTTCTGTTGCGTAAAGCAGAGAAGAGACAGGCAAATTCTTGATTTTATGATGATTTTATATTGATTTTATAAGATAAAGCTTTTCAAATAACTGGTCAGATTTGGTGACTCTTCCATTTACCACAAAATTTCTGTTGTGTATTCAAGTTTTTTGGTTTTGCTTTTTCTTTAGAAAATTTCCTTGTTCACTTGCTGCATTCCATCATGTGGGTTATTGGGGCAGAAATAATTGTGCATTCAAAGTAACAGGTGTGTAACCTTCTAGAAGTAGAAACAGTCCCTTTCCTCCTTATCTAAATTACATATGCCAGTCACCTGTGCCCAGCTTTGCTTACACCCTACCACTTAGCAAATCCTACTACTCCTTCACTTCCAAAGTGACTGAAATAACTGTGATGTTCCTTTTGCAAACACTTCAGTTCCTATATTCCCTTTGTAAACACCTCAGTCTATTTTATTGTAGATATCTTTTGTCATCACTCTTCTTTCCTTTAAAGAGAAATTTGCCTACCTGTACTCCCGAAACAAAAGTGAATCTTCAAAAATCTACAATATATTAAACAATCCACTTGTATTATTTTTACATTAAAAAAATGCTCTCACAAAAAAGTGGTGCAATCAGATTATGAATAGCTGTTAAAGAGACATATCACCAAAAGTTTGCTATTGAGTTATCCCTTTCTCAGGATTTTCTGAATTTGTATTCCTCAACTAAAATAGGAAGAAAAAATAGTTCCTTCAAAATTTTCCTTTCAGGGATTTTCTCATTAATCTGACTCTTCTCATTTTCGCAAAGGTTTTTATTTGTTCATTAATTCTCTCTCTCTTCCTTTTCTATTCTAAGAAAACACAGAATTCCTAATTTCTATGCTAAATTATTTGAATAGCTTGCTATTGCTTACTAGTTTTGAATTGTTTATTTAATTTTCTGAGAAACAATTCTGTTATTTAGTGTTTTCCCTTGTTTTACCAGCTAGTTACCTGTTGATTGAGAGAATAATTAGATAATTGACACAGCCTAAGATGATTAACTTTGATTGTATAACTGTTATAGTGTTTCTTATGAAAGTTTATGGCCAGCATAGGAAGTATAGTATTTAAATTCCAATACGTTTCAAGTATAGGAATATAAACAATTTATCATGTGTCGAAAGTGTAACTCATCTGTTATTTTTAGAGCTTTAAAACTGAGGTAAATTTGTGGTTTTCTAGTGCAGGTTGGTTATCTTGTACTTACCTCAGGGTAAAGGACCTCTTTCTACTGTGGACATTACCATGAATGTGGTAGGATGAGTAATGCCTGAGAGGCCATATGGCCTTAAGTGTCCTCCTGGCAAAGCATGTGAGAAAAGCCAAGAACCAGTCAGAAAACCAGCCACATTGCTCAAAACAGTTGAAATGTCCAGCTGGAATCTGAGTCTCATCCCTTCTCATAATTTACTGGGCAATGTGATCTTGTCTGTTTCTGTCTGTCTAATCTCTAGAAAAGTCTTAAAAACCATCTGGGCTATGAAAAGTTTTTTGTGCAGCTCACATAAGGTATGTTTAGTTATATTATTAATGGATTTAGCTGAGATATTGTGATAAACTACTACCATTAAGTAGTTGTCTTGATGTGTGGGATTAGGAAAATAAGAAGCTCTGAAAATTGGTCAAAACTTCTACCCTTTTGCCAACACTTTATTGGTCTTGCCAAAGTAGCCTTTTAAAGATTAACATGTTATTTAACTGAAATTCATCTCTTTTTTTTTCTGCACTTCTCTGTTAAAGTCAGCTGGCAATAATATAAAGCCTTCCACCTTGTTTGTTTTGCTTCAGATTTGAAAAGTAGTAATAGTTAATGGACTAGTTAAAAAAAAAATGTTGCTAAAACTTGTCCAGTTTTTACTTCTGTTTCATTTGTAAGTTAGTTTCATGTATATTTGATATTCAACATGGGCTGTTGTGACTAACCTTTGCATTAACTCATTGGAAAATAATGCTTTTTTAAAACTTTCATTACATAATTAAGTCACGGAAGTATTAAATACACAATATCACCAATGGCTCATATTTCAATTTGCATTTGAGTAACAAGATCTATTTGAAAAAGTCACATATTTTACATAATATTTTAGAATGCTTTAAGTCATTCAGTCATTATTATTTTAAGCAATATTGGTCATATCTTAGTTATATGTGATGTACAGACATAACACAACATTGCTATTTAATATTTAAAATATTCTATGATTCTAAATATAATCTTGCATCTTGCTTATGAACTCTCAGATGAACAGGTGCTATAAAAAGAGTGGTAAGCTTTTTTCTGTTACTTATTAGGCCCAAATAGTAATCTTCTCTGATAAGCAGTGCCATTGTTTAACCTAAAAGCTCCTTCCTGTGTACAAGAGCATACAATGTCAGTTGATACATCAAGAATTCTGCATTTCCCAAGGAACGGAAATGCAAGCTGTAGTAAGACAGCATTTAAATTTTGTGCAATTTCAGCTTGGTACTTTCTGAGGTGAGAGCACACATTCGTTGTTGGTTCTAAACAGCAATAGCAAAGTTCTCTACTATGCATAAAAGATCTTTTTTTTTAACTACTATCTGTAGTAGCACAAATCACACAGTCTTCACAAATCTTAAAAATAATAGTTTTCCTGATGAAATACCGAGTTCAGAAACTAAAACTTTTCTGTATTAGTGCTTTGACTCAATTTCTTTTCTTTGAGCTCAGTAAGTCTATTTTTACCTAGTATACAAAGTACAGATTATGTTAGTAGGTATCTGAAGATGCACTGATCAAATGAAAACAATATCGTTTGCTATCTGCAACTGACAAACAAAAAGAAAAACGCACAGTTATTTTCATACTAGTCTGATACTTATCTTTATAATATTTGTGATATTTGTATATTCTGTTTTTGAAACACCAAATACCTGGTCTCCAGTGTGTTTTTCTTTCAGTAATCTAGATTTGATAAGAAAAGGCCAAGCACATGGAGGAAAAGATGCCTTCTCAAAGTCAGGATGAGTTCCTAAGGTTTGATAGCCTTAAAGTCATATGCAAGGAGGTTTATTTTACTTTTTCTTCTGCAGTTGTCCTTGGCTCTGTGCAGCACTTTTACGCAGCAACTTAAATATTGGCATGCTATCACTACTCTCTTCATAAAAATCCTAAACACAGCATCATAAGAGCATCTAAAAGAAAATTAACTCTATACTAGCCAAAACCATTACGTTATTCTATCTCATTGCATGTTAAATGTAAGGGTGAATATTTCCACTATTTCCAGATGAAAATTAGGAAAAAAAAATGATATTTTGTATTAATATAAATATTAAATAAATATCTAAATTAATCTAAAATATCTAAATATCTAAATATATTAAATATCTAAATTCTCAGTCTTTAAAAAAAGAAAAAAACCTATTTTTCTGAATAGCGGACAGGCGATTCTGTGCAGTGGTTGGATTAAATGTAGAAGTGTTTGAGCGGAAAGAGGTCATTAATGGTTTGCATGGTGGTACAGAAGTGTTAGTGTTTAAATATTAATTCATTGCCATCTGTCATGCTGTTTTTACCCATGCACTGTTGGCCAATACAGAAAGCATAACTACTACCCAAATGTTCAGAGCAGGAAAAAGTAATTTCCTTTTATGAGAGAAAAATCTCCAAAGAAAAAAATAATAGGCATTATTCGTTGGTATCTAGGTTTTGAGGGATACAGCATATATCTTCAAAAGATGGCACTAATTATTTGTCCTAAGCTGTATTAACTGCTAATATATCATTTAACTGCAAAAGCATGTGCTGTGCATTTGTCTTGACATTCACAAGGCTGCTGCTGTGTGCTAAGCATTATTAAATTACCTACAGCATCTGGCCCTTTAACAAGTCCCTGACAGGACATTAAGATTTTATTTTAACTCCCTTTTTTTTTTTTAAAACTTTCCCTGATGTTCAGACAGCTCAATAATATTAGGAAGAATATATTATTCTAACTAGGAATGATTTAGGTGAAGAACAAAAAAAAAAAAGGACAAATAAATGTGAAGTCATTTTTAATTTAATTGAAAAAACATAAAAAATGAATAAATGAATGATGTTCAAATGATGTTCAAATAAGAAAGTCAATAGCATGCTGCTGTTGTTGAAGATGTTGAGTTAGCAGAAAGAGTTATCAAAAATATGGGTGAGGAGTAATTTCATTCAAGACTTGGAGTCATTGTTCAGCTTAGATTTTTAGCAGATGTCTTACTGAGTCATCTATGATAAATTAACCTCAATTTCTAACTTCAAAAGAGGTTTATGTAAGTAGGTAGTAGGTGGTAAAGTTTGGAAATGTTTGTCACGGAAAATCACAAACCCCAGAGTATAAAGTCCTAGTTTACACCTATTACCAGACTATGGCATTTCCAATTCTATATTATCCCAATAATAGATTTTTAATTGTGCCATCTCTAGATGTACAGGGTGTCTTGATAAAACTTATCTCAGACACAGAAAGGACTTTTAAATGCATACATAGTATAGACTTTCGAGATTTCTGTAATAAATTAATATACCTCTGAAAAGGTTTTTATTTTCCTTGGGTTATTCTTAGGAGATAAATATTGCAGTTGCAGCTGAATGATTAGGGTTGATTAGCTAAGTATTCAGAAATTTCTTCTGGATCTCTTTCTGCCATGAAAAACTTTCAATAGATCTGATGTTAATTAGTCACCTGGAGTAATCACTTCTCTTTGAATTGCTAACATCAGTTGCAGATCAAAGTAACACAGAGTGAGCGTATTTTATAAATCAAAACTAGGGACTGCATTTACCTTAAAAGAAGTTACTCCAACTTACAGTTTCAAAACTTCATGAGTTGTCATTGGTGAATATAAGGACAGATGATTTATTTGGAGAAGCTGTTTTGTTGCTCTTATCTCCCATGGGTTATCAAGGCATCTGGGATCCTAAAGTTGTTTCAGTTGACACTGAAAGTTCCTACCTATTTTGCTTCTAGAAAGGAGAAAGCAGTTTTCTGTTATGGAAGAGAATGCTGTGATGTCTCTGACATTCACCTATCTTTTAAGAAGGAAAGGGAAATCTGCTAATCATCTTCAATTTGATATTTTTGGATTTGTTTTTCTTCTGTTGTTTGTTTTATTCCATATTTTACTTTATGTGAGCTTTCATTTATACTACTTGTCTTTTAAGTATACTAATGGGTATGTAGGTCATGAGGTGGAGAGAACCAACATCTGCCACTTCATATCCTAGAAGTGTCATTAGATTTGTTTTATTATTTTATGGAAAACTGAAAAGGAAATAAATGCTGTGGGAACTGCAGGGGGGGAGAGTAGGGGGAGGGTTACAAAAAAACCCAAAAAAACAAAACAAAACAAAAAAAACAACAACAAAAAAAAAAGCAACACTTTATATGGTTGCCCACAGCAGAAAACATGATACGGGGCATCACCAAGCAAAATATACATAACCACAAAATTTATGGGGAAGAGATTCTCCTCTGCTGGTTGGGGAAATCTGAGCTGGGTAGAAAGCTGTGATGACTGTACATGCCCACAGTACAGTGAAAGAAACCATTATCTGCTACCCAGGATTTGTGCTTCCATCTTCAAAGTTATATTTTAATTGTAATATTGACTTTGAAAAGCAAAACTTTAAAAACATGAATTTCAGTTCAGTTCACACAGTTTATGCTTGAAATTTTATCTGCATTTGTCTTAATGCTATTTACAGTATTATAACTCCCTGTATCCATATGCATCTGTTTTAATAATAGTTTCAATTATGAGTCTATTGCACAACAAGCATATGTTTATAACAGTATATATGATATATGGATGTGTATAAAATATACATCATCTATATGCCTTAAATGAATTAAATTTTGCAGAATTGTAATTATTTAATTATTAAACTTTATAGAACTTAAACAGCAAGTAATTAATTCTTCCTGACACAAAATAACAAGAGAACTTGGTGTAGTTTTGCCTTAATTCAAATTAAATATATAGAGAAGTAGACTACATATTCAGTTTGAAGTCCATTTATCAGTGCAGCCTGAAAGTATTTTGGATGGTCAAATGTTTGATATAAGTTACATTTCAGTAAAGAATCTGGAACTTAGATTTTCTTCCATGTTTCTGTGAACTGATGTATTCATTGTTAAAGGAGATACAGTCATCTGGATAATCTGAAAATAAGCATAGTGGATAGTTTGCTCTACAAGTTGGAGCTGTAAAATTTTAGGTTTGCTTTCTTCATATAGAGAGATGATTCTCTCTTTGTAGGTACTAGTATTAGAAATTCAGAAATTGTAGATTTGTAAAGTGTTTTTGGAAACATAGCAAGGTGCGTTATGGCTGAGAAGATAAAACAATATTGTACTGCACGTGCAACTGATTACTCTTATTTCAACTGGGAAATGAAAATGTAATGAAACAGAATTCCATTTTGATAGCATTGATTACTCTGTAGACAGTTTAACTTTTCCAAACCATTTCATAACAGTCACATCTGGTTCCACATCAAAGAGATTAAGTTAACATGTATTAATTTTTTTTTTGTAATCTCTCAAGTGGCTTGAATATACTAACCATTCTTCCAGCAGTAAGCAATACTAAGCGATGCACTGTTAATACCTGATTGCAACATGAAGTAAAAGCATAAAAAACTAGAACTAATCTTGTAAGGGTAGTTTGGACTACCTGTATTTCTTAACAGAAAGATTATTTTTTTAATAGCTGATTTTGCAAAATAAGGCCTGATATTGCAGTTCTTCACCTCAAATTAGCTATCACATTTTTTTGTATTTCTTCTTATATATTTTGTAAATGTACTTTTATATATTAAACTGAAAAATTTGACAAAATGAAAGTAAACCAATGATCCAGATAAATAAAACTGAAATAATAAATGTGGATTTCTTTGTCACTGATGCTTTCTGCTAAATTTTTACCCATTTATACTGATAAGTTGCAGGTGTACATTTGAAATTTAATTAGGAATTAACGAGAAAATTGTTAGATAACTATTTCCTGAAATCTTGAATTTTTTTTAATGCTAGTTATGCTTTATTCTGTTCATCACTTTAAAACACTACTTTCAGAATAAAGTATGCTTTCACCGATTAATAAAATAAAGTAATTTTAAAAAGTAATTTAGCAGACAAAACATGAAGAATAAAGATAATGCCTATATATTACAAAGCACTTGAGATTTGGTACATCCCATAGGTCTATTTGATTTCATAATTATTTTAGATCTTTTGAGCTTTGAGACATTTGGCACTTTTCTGTCATAGAATCTGAAATAAATTGTGATGTCTCCCTTTTTTGTTGTCATTCTTTTTTTATATTCTGCTGTTCAAATTTGCAATAGAACTGAATGAGAAATATCATTATCCTCTGCACTGAGAATCTGATTTTCATGGTGTAGTCCCCTCTTTTATTTATCCTTTTCTTTTCCCATTTGAAAGAAGCTGCACTTCAGGCTGAACTAACCTCTGAAAGCACTGTCTGAACTGACATTTCATCAAGTTCACAGAGTTTGAGTACATCACGAATTCTTGTGTTATCTTCCACACGATACTGAAATAGATGTTTTGCGCAGTTCTTTTAAATTTAATCTTGGTGTAAAATAATGAAAAAGTTACTCTACATATTAATTTAACATTACTTTACAATAAAAACTGTTTACCAGCCTTACAGAAAGGAAACTATTTGACAAAATCCTCATATATACGTTTATGGTACTCTGTGCATACAAATGAATACTTTTGTTTTTACAAAATATCTTAGGTAAACCATTCACTTTCCTTTCAGGAGCTGACGCTGTGGAGGCCCAGTGTAAGAGATTTGAAGTAAGGGCAAGTGAAGGTGGAAAAGTATTATTTTCTGCAGATGAAGATGAGATAGTCATTGGAGCTGACAGACTGAAGGTAACAGGTATGTTAATTGTAAGGTTTCTAAATGAATGTTAGTCCTCTCCCTCTCTTCTTATTCTCTTACTGACCAAAAGATATTGCAGAATTCAAAAGGTGAATTCCTGCAAAGGCAGATTTGAATTTTAACTCTGCTTGACCAGCAAATGGTAAAAATTACCCTCAACACAGACATTTGGTTTTATATGTTACTGTTAATAAAGCATTTTTCTGTGGTTGCTATATCATCTGATTAGGAAATGCTGCTTCACAGTGGTAAAAGCTTTTGTTCTTTATCGTGATTTTGATAGTTCTGTATTTGAAATACCAGGTCCAACTTATGTGTGAATTAAGGGTTTGTACTCTACTATACTTTAGAAGTCTTGACTGAATTGTAGTACGCAAAATACTTGCCTTGACTTCAACATTTGTTCAACAGAACAAAAATAAAATTGTCACTGATATTTTACTGTCATCATTACCTGCATAAGTGTCATATTACATACATATGGATAAGTTACATGTTTGATATTATACATGTGTTAACTTAAAAAAATAAATAAATAAATAAATAAATGGTTAGATTTGTTTTAAATAAATGCAAATGTTCCAGGAACACCAGGAATAGGACAAAAGTACATTCAGGAAGGCCAGGGTCAAACTGAGACTGAATTTTCTTTATAAGCCTTAGAATAAATTAGATTGTTGCTTGCCAGTATTTGGGGGTAAATTTTCTTACGCAAAATCACAGAATTGCAGGGGTTGGAAGGGACCTCAAGAGATCATTGAGTGCAACCCTTCTGCTAAAGCAGGTCCCCTACAATAGGTCACACAGGGTCTTGAATATCTCTATGGAAGGAAATTACACTGCATCTCTTGACAACCTGTTCCAGTGCTCCAGTACTTATTCACTCTTCTCTGATCTCTGTTGATCTTCTCTGGCCACAGGATTTTTTCAGTACTAAACAAAAAGAAAAAACTTTCACAAGCTGACAGTTTAGTGATGCCACAGTATCCAATACTAAATAGTATATATTGTCCATATTTGTATTTATGAAAAGGATAAATGAGCGTTTGTTGAGTCAATAGCATTCTTTATAGTTAGTACATTTAAAATAAGTCTTTTGTTTTAATAATAAAATGTAAGAGAATAACGAGAATAATGTGAGAGGAAGAAGATAGTCATTGGAACCCTATCAAGACTCATGCTCGATCAGAATTTTAAATTCTGTGAAACATACAGTTGATTTCAAAACAATCAGTTGATTTCAAAGTGTCTACCATAAGTTACAAAATAAAATGTCTAACATATGGCACAGAGGATGAGATTTCCTGCCATTAAGAAATCTGATCATGTACTGGTGGTTGTAATGACAGTGCACTGCTCAACTGATTTTAACTTCAAAGTAGTTTGAGTACTGACAGCACCTGTTGACTTCAGCGGTATTAGAAAGCAGAGGAACTAAAGTAAATTTGTTCAGCGATGCTCAATATGGCATATAGAAGTGCTCCTTGTAAAACGAGCAGGATTTTATTCTTAACTTTTGCAATACACCTGGCTGTATGTACATTCATTTTAAGCACAAAAAAAATAATAATAATAAAGGAAAGTCTAGGTTAAGTTAATGCTGCTTTGGTATGCTTATCTGAGATTTGGGGATTACTATAAACCTGTCAATTCACACAAAAAATATTACTACTAGATTTGGTTTTTATTTTGTGGCTGTGGTGAAAAATAAAAAAGCACTGACTTTGACATTAATTACTTCCACAATAGAAAATAAAGAAAATGAAATATATGAAAGATTTAGTCAGCTATTAGATATCACATAGAAAAGGATGGCCATTACCTAGAATCATAGAATCATAGAATTGCTCAGATTGGAAAAGATCTTAAAGATCATCAAGTCCATCTGCAACCTAACCAAACCACTAACAACCCTCTGCTAAATCATGCCCCTGAGCACCACATCCAAACAGTTTTTAAACACATTCAGGGATGTTGACTCAACCACTTCCCTGGGGAGCCTATTCCAGTGCTTAACAACCATTTCAGTAAAGTTTTTCATGATAACCCACATAAACTTACCTTGGTGCAACGTGAGACCATACTGAAAGATTTACTAGTTTCTGAGCAATTCTGTGTAGGTCTGAGGATTAAATACGAAGTATTTATTGTTAATTTTCAATTTACATGGCAGTTTGTTTAGAAAAATATGTGAAGGTATTTTGTAATTGCAAATTGAAAGAGTAATTTATTTTTTAAAATCCTTTGGAAATCATTAAGTATCTATTTGGAAATAACATAATGAAGTTGGGATCATTGATTCTAATCTCTGGTTAATCATCTTGTTGTCTTAATATCTTATAAAAAGGTTATTTTCAAAATTTTATACTGTAGATCTCTAGGGCCCAGTTTATGTTAATCCTTATGTCATTTTATTAGACAATAAAAATATCCTACAGGAGGAAGGGAAGAGTATAAGATAGAAGAGCATTTCTGACAGGCATACACTGAAAACCATTATATCCTAATTTCTCTATCTCTACAAAGCTTTTTGCATCAGAATTACTAATTTCTAGCCAAATGATTAAACTGTAATGAGCTGTAAAATGCTTTACTGTTTACTTCAGTCTAAAGCTAAAGTTACTGAAAATAGATTTCCAGGAGGAAAATAAACATTGTACGATGCAGAGAAAACAAAATATGAGTATGAGAAAGCAATAATAACTGTCCTATCACACATCTCAAACACAAATCTATTATAATGCAGTATAATATTTTTTTTCACTTTTTTTTTTTAACATGTCATATGATATGGGGCATCACTTTGGCCAGTTTAGTCCAGCTTTCCTGTTCTGGTCCCCTCCCATCTTCTTGTGCTCCCACAGCCCACTTACTCACAGGACAGTACACGAAACCAAGAAACTGAAACATTCCTGGCTCCATATAGCACTGTTCAGCAACAACTAAAACATCAGTGTGTTATCAACACTGTTTTTCTCCTAAAGCCAAAACACAGCATCATATCAGACGCTACAAAGAAAATCTGGCTGAAACCAGGACAAAAAACTTTCATGGTATGTGCACATTACTACAGATTGTCTTCTGACTTTTTTTTTTTTTTTTTTACAAATATGTAGATACAGTTTAATAAGATGCACTAAATAAAGTATAGATAATGGTAGCAGGAGAAACACAAAGAAGAGGTGTAAAAACCTGCTATGAGGCTTCTCCCTTGTCAAATAGTGAAGTTATGTAGAAGGGTGGAAGAGAGGGAAGGAGAGTAGGAGACATTTTTCAGTTTTGGTGGAAACATTCTCACATTAATAACAGGACAGATGTGGGTTAAATCTACTTTTACACCAGAGTAGTGTCAGGGAAAAATCTGTGATATTCTGCACATATTCTCATTACATGAGAATTTATAAGGAGTTCAGCATGGCTTTGATCAAAGTTACGTACTTCATTGGAAGAACGATCAGAGCCTTGATGTATCAAGGAAACTCCAGAATGTTCTTCCACGCTTTTACTCTAATAATGTTCTAATAATATCCAGGATTAACGAGTAGATGAGTGTGTCACTACCTCAGTTTTGATTTTAAGATTATGTGTAGGAATGGGAGTCTGCATGTAATTGAAATGTAGTAAAGTCTTCCAAAGTAGTTAAAATGAAATTCTGAAGTAGAAATATGGGCTATGACTATAAAAGATAGTATGACAAAAATATGGAGAAATATATATGAATTACAAATTAGATTGACAGAGCGGAATTAAAATATTTATAACGAATACTGAAATGTAGAAAAATAAATGATTATTTGATGTACATTGTTATGACAGCAGATATATATTTAGTTCCTTCAGAGTCTGACTAGGAATTGTAGTATGAAGAAGAGAAAAGATCTTGGATTTGCCATGTTCTCATTTAGGACAAATAGAGTGTGGATTGTGAAGTTGCAAGAGATGAAGGGAAGCACTGAATCACTTTAATCTCACTTACTTAGACAAGTTATAAGTGATCGTAGTAAAATTACTGTATTTGATGTTGCAGTAAAAACAAGCCTTTGAATAGATGTACTAGACTCTCCAGATCTTGAACTCTGAATGAACCAGGATTCTTATATCAGCATTTGTCAGTAACAAAAATGCATTATATATATATAGCTTCTGTGGTTCCCAAATGATGAGTAAATAATGTGTAATTCAAAATGTACTGAGTGAATAAGATTTCTGATGAGCTTATTTAGATGTCAGGGAATCACTTAATGTCCAGAATTTTCTGCAGAAGAGTACTGATTACTATTACAGGAATCTAGCCAATTACAACAGAGCAGCTTTTCGGGGCACTCTTCTTGAGAAGCATTCTTGGAGTTCATTACAAGGTTGTATATGTGAGTGCCAAGCTATCTCTGAACTGGAATTTTTGTGGGCAGGTTAAAAGTAGTGAACCTAAATAAATAAATTTCTTATACAGGACATTGCACAGATACATTTATGTCTTGTTAAGCATGAAATGTGTCCCCAGTCAGTTCAGATTGCAAGCAGTATGTGCTTACATCAGCCTGCAGGTGAAATATGTCGGTTGTTGGAGGGCTGCAGTTGTCTAAGCATAATGGCAGTTGGTTTGCAAGGAGAAGGTTTTGAATTTTGACAGTTTCAGAAAAACATGCTGAGGAACATAGTGACTGGGCTATGAATGTATGCACAGAGAAAGAAGCCTTAATTAAAGAAGTTTCTCTGCAAGTGAGTAGACTCGAAAGAAGAAAAATGTGTAGAAGTTTCTGTAGTCCTGCTAGCCCAGGAAAATATATTCAGTTTGCTCCAGCATTCCACTGGGAAGTTCTTAAGATAATTGTGCCCTACAACCAGAGATATAGAGAGAGACTGCATACTCAGACAAGAAAATGGAAAGATTAATAAAGAAAGACATAAATAAAATCCTAGCAAAATCATGCTCTTCTGATGTTTCTTCTTTCTTTTTTCTTTCTCTTTTTGTAGAGCAGTGGTGATATCATGCATTA